TTTGCTTTGAGGGGGTCCTGCACTCAGCTGAGGTTGGTCACGCTGGCTGTGGTACCTGGGCTGCTGTTTAGAGATTTGAGCTGCAGTCAATAACTTCCCACATACTCAATGAACATGGGTGCCCATTTGGGAATATATTCAGAATTATACTAACCTACCGAGGGGACTTCTATGTCCACCCTGAGTGGTCGCTTGGTAGCCCGAATATTGACAATAGCTCATGTGACAGTTGATCCAAATTGCTGTTCCCAATACAGAACCCTAAACCCTAAACCTCGCAGAACCCTAAACCCAAAACCCTTCCTAAAGGACCCTTTGGATCAACCTCTAGGTCATTTTATGGGTTTGGAGGCAGCGGATCCTCAAATCGGCTCTCCAGCGATGAGTCAGACCAGTAGGGCTTAGGGTTTGGGGGTTTAGGGTTTGGGGTTTAGGGCATATTACGGTCACATGACACTTCTAGGGTCCTGATTTTGTTGGGTTGGATTAAACTACATAAACCACATATACCCCCATACGACTCCCATGAAACCCTTACATATAATCCCTGTATAACCCATAACGCAAAGTAAGTTGAGATCCATCAACTTAACGTTAAGCCCTAAAAACACAAATGCCCTCATCAAAGTGAAGACTCACCGACTCAACAGCAGCCCAAGGAAGTGCCTGTGGCGCTGATCATCACCAGCGGATCCAAGGCAGGATGTAGTATCATTGGAAGGCTCTAGAATTCAGGCCGAAATCTTTACCAATATCCTTCCATGAAAAGAGCATACCCTAAACCCTAAACCTATCTGACCTGAAAAGGGTATTGGTGGTTACCTGCTAGGCTTGTGCATTACGAGTGCTGGTTCTGAGGCAGTGGGATGATATCTATGAATGTTGAGTTGGGTTTAGGGTTTAGGGGTTTAGGGTTTTAGGGGTTTAGGGGTTTAGGGGTTTGGGGGTTTGGGGGTTTAAGGGTTCAGGGTTTAGGGCGTAGGGGGGATGGATCACTGCATAGTATGTTGGAGGGTCAGGGGGACTTATAACTCCTCATAAGTGCCGAATATTGGACCACACTTTAATCCTTTTTTGGTTCCTGGGTTCTTATTATAGCAATTTCTACCTCAAAAGTCTATACTTTTTTCTGTGGTGTACTCCAAACTTGGGTAATAAGCGTGCCCGTTACCCACTCCTCCTTCAGGGTTCCCGGTGCAGATCTAGGATTTTGATAGGGTTAGGGGTTTAGAGCTCAGGGTTTAGGGCTTGGGGGTTAGGGTTTAGGGCTTAGGTTCCGGGCTCAGGAAGGAACTTTCCATCAAGCGTTTCGCCCGGTGGATGACATGACTTAGGTCAATCCCCCCTATAGCAATAGCTCCTTAATATGGAATTCATGAGGCCTTAGTATATCTACAATAGTTCCTTGTGGTACCCATTACTGAAAGCCTTAACCCTAAAACCTAAAAAAGTTGTTTCCATTTTCTTCTCCATTATCCCAATATGAGCCGTAATCTAAACCCCTTAGTAACCCTCATGGTAGTCCCCTGTACTATCCCCTATATAACCCCCTTTAAGGAGTTTAGACCCTAAACCCTAAATCCTAAACCCTAAATCCTATATAATCCCCTATGTATCCCC